TCTCTTGTGAACTTTCAATATTATTTGCTTATGGTTTAGCTGTTTACACTGATTACTTTACCATAAAGTGACAGATTAGTGAAACACACAATCATATCTGACGGCTTTCACTTTAAGTCATTATCAATCATAATGTGATTCAATAGTTCTGATGAAATGTCATCAAGCTGTTATGTTGGCTCTGTTACTCTCCACAGATGCTACCTGAGCTGCTGTTTTTTGGATTTCCAGCATGTGCAGGGATTTGCTTTTCTACAATTCAACAGTGAGTGCCTTACCTGAGTGCAGACCTATCCTTATGCGAACTGGCACATCCGGCATATGCCTCATTTTAAAGGTGCCTACCGCACTCAGGATATCCAGAGACATGTTTGCAATTTCAGCTGCATGCCTGTTACCATTCCTTGTTGGGAGGCCAGAGACCACCATGTAAGCATCTCCAATGGTTTCGACCTGTGTATCAAACAGACATGTTAACAATTTTCAGATTTATCTCTCATATCCTTCATAGCAAAATGTCTGCACATTAGTGACAAAGTTAAAAGAAAAGAAAACAAGGGAGACTTGTATTTCTACAGCGCTTTTCATGACTACTGGAAGCCTCAAAGCAAAGGCCAAGTAAATGGCTTTTTGAAGTGCAGGCATTGTTGTAATGCACCAGATGATTTGTGCTCAGGACTGTGAATTTGGGTAAATTCAATGTTAAAATTTGGTATGCAGCTTGGTAGGTAAGGATAGTCCCTGCACAATTTCCACCTTTGAGGAAGCTGGACTTGAGTCAAGGCAAGTCATTCTCTCGCAGTAAGGCAGAGGAAATTGAAGATAAGTACACTTTAGCAAACCTCCAGCATCTGCCAATAGTTTGATGTGGACCAAGTGTAGTTGGAGTGTAGAAGCAGGTTTGCACAGCTCTTGCAGTGAGGAAGCAGAATGCAGGAGATTGAAGTGATGGTTCAGATCCATGTACAACCTCTCATCTGTCAATTCCTTTTGTGGTGACCTTGAACACTTTCCTTCTTTCCATATGTGCAAAACTATAGAACTTAGATAATGCTCTAGAAAAAGGGATATTTGCAGCATTACTGGGGCTATTGTAGGTCAGTAAATTTGGAACAAATGTTAGGCCTATTAATTGACAATTATTATTGCTATTTACATACCTTGTAGACATCATGATTTTCTAACACGGCATCAAAAAGTGTGTAGAGATCATTCAGGAGGTCGACCACTTCGATAGGTTCACTCATTGCTGATATAGTTGTAAAACCAACGACGTCACTGAAGTACAGGGTCACCTGGTCAAAGTATTCAGGCTCAACAGTACAGCCAGTTTTCAGGGACTCTGAAACTGATCTAAATTCAAACATGTCCTTCTTATCCAAATATCCAGCATGCAACATGTTGACAATTTTTGCACAGTCTGACAAATAAGAAAATTTCTACGGTGCAATCTACCATCCATGGTTAACTAAAAAAGACCAAGATTGTATCAAACTCAAAGAAAAGATATATGATGATGCAAAGTGGCAGGTCAGAAGATTGGACAGAATACAAAAATAGCAGAGAATGACTAAAAGATTAATAAGGAGGGGAAAATATTTAGAATATGACAGAAAGTTAGCCAAAAATATAAAAACAGATAGGAAAGCTTTCTTCACATATTTTAAAACAAATGAACAAAGTAAGTCTTGGTCCTGTAGAAAATGAGTCTGGGAAATTGGTAACGGAGGATAAAGAGATAGAAGAGAGATTGAACAGATATTTTACAACAGTCTTCACCAGACAGGATACAAATAATATCCAAGCAATATCTGTAAATCAGGATTTGAAAGGGAGGGAGGAATTCACAAAAATTATAATTAACAGGGAAGTAGTAAAGTCACCAAAGTCCTCCCGGACTGTTGGGCAGCTCACTCATTAGACAGAGACAACTAGAGGTGGTTTAACTTGAGGGTCTCCACACCTCAGGCAAGGGGAGAAGGAAAGTCCTTCAGCCAGCGCAGGAAATGGAACCACACTGTTAGCAGCAGTCTGCATCACAAATCAGCCTGCCAGCTAACTGAGCTAACCATTCATGGAATGAGGGGTTAACATATTGTCATGCATAGAGATTGGCTGGCCAACAGGAAGTACAGAGTAGGACTTAGTGAGTCTTTTTCAGGCTGCCAGGATGAGTAGTGAGGCACAGGGGTCAGTGCTGGAGGCTCAACTCTTTAGAATTTATATAAAATGATGAACAGACCAAAGGTATGGTCGCTAAATTTGCTGATGACAGAGAAAGCTAGGAAAGTGAGTTATGAAGAGAACACAAGGTGCCTAAATAGGTTAAGTGAATGGGCGAAGATTTGGCAAATGGAGTACAGTGTGGGAAAGTGAGAAATTGTCCATTTTGACAGAAAGAATAAATAGAAATGCATTATCTAATTGGTGAGAGATTGCAGAGCTCCAAGATACAGAGAGATCTGGGTGTCCTAGTGCATGAGTCACAGAAGGTTAGTACGCAGGGACAGTAATGGTTAAGAAAGCTAATAGGAAATGCTATTTTTTTTTGTGAAGGGAATTTAATACAAGAATAGGAAGGTTATACTTCAGTTACACTGGTGCAACTGTGTATTGGTGAGACCACAGTACTGGTCCCTATACTTATGGAAGGATGGTAATATGTCAGAAGCTGTTTGGAGAAGGTTTACTAGGCTAATACCTGAAATGACTGAATTGCCTTATGAGGAAAGGCTGGACAGGCTAGTCCTCTATCCTTTGGAGTTTAGAAGAGTTAGAGGTGACTTAATTGAATGGTATAAGATACCAAAGGGACTTGACCTGGCGGATGTGTAAAGGATGTTTCATCTTAGAGGAACGCGGGATCACCAATTAAAAATAAGGGGCCGCCCATTTAAAAGAGAGATGAGGAAAAATATTTCTCTCAGAGGGTTGTGACTCTGCTCAAAAGGCAATGGAGGCAGAATCTTTAAATATTCTTAAGACAGAGGTAGATAGATTCTTGATTACCAAGGAGGTGAAAGATGATCAAAAATATTCAAGAATGTAGAATTCAACTTAAAATCAGATCAGCCATGACCTTATTGAATGGTGGAGCAGACCTGAAGGGCTGAATGGCCTGCTCTTATTCCTTGTTCATATGATAGCAGTCAGCATGTTGTTGGTTTACAATTTAGGAAATCAATATGGGATTAACTAGGCTTTATTACACTGTAAAATTCTGAAGGGTTTTGTGCTAGTATACACTAGAAAAGAAAACATGGTTTTTTTAAGTAAAATAACCTGCTAAAATCTGCAGGCTGTTTTCTCCCAACAAGGTCACTGGTGTGCAACATTGCTTTCTGGCCAAGAGTCTCATAGGTCATAAAATCAGCTTGAAAGGCAGACAGCCATTCATCCAAGCTGTGCCTTGTTTTGATACAAAGTTAGAAACTGAGGGAAAATTTATGTTTCCATGAGATTGATAAGAGTGAAACTAGTCAGAAAGCACATCGGAACACAGGCCTGAACTTTAATTCCCAAGTCAAAACTGCAGACTTGGGAAAATTCCCAGCTCCTAGCCCTAACCTTAACTCTAACCCTAATGCTAACCCTAATCCTAGCTCTAACCCTAACCCTAATCCTAACCCTATCCATAGCCCTAATTCAAATCCTAATCCCAACCCTAGCCCTAACCCTAATCCAACCCTATCCCTAGACCTAACTCTAACCCTAATCTTAACCCCAGCCCTAAACCTATTCCTAACCATAACTCTAATGCAAACCCTAACTTTAACCCTAATCATAACCCAACTCGGAGAAAGCACCTTGAGCAGTTGGATTTTCATCCAGGATGGGGGATGTTAATTGGAGTCGAACCCAACATCACATAAAGAGTTCAGAGGCAGCCACAGGTGCTGCCACAAGTGGGCATGGCTGAGGGAAAAGCCCACTTCAATAACATGGCATTTTATCACAGCTGGCAAGATAACTAGAAAATCAGAAAACAGCCATACAACACTTGGCTCTCATATCCAAGTACACCCCAATGCCCCATCTATGTCAATTTATGTCTCTCTATCCATTCTTTTTGGTTCCTCATACCTCTGTGCTACCATATGCCCATCTACCCATCCCATGGGACTTTATAGCGCCTATGAAAATTTAGGCCAATCCATTACTTTACTTAGTATCCTTTATCCTCAGACACTCCATGTCAAATCAGCCGGTATCCAATATGGGCCAACATTGGAACCCAGCCATTCTAAATTGAAATATGATAATTTATTTAAGTGTCTATTGATGAATTCACTATTCAAAAATTCTCATTGATTAGTTCCCATTCACTATATTTAGCGTTTTTCAATTACATAATCCCTTTTATAAACATTTGCGTTTGCAGCCTTATTGCAAAGACTTTTTAGGAATTTGGAGGTGCTAATCAAAACATGAACAACAGATACCCCACTTTGATAAAGATAGCTTGTAAAATCAGCCATACTGCCTAATGATAGACCTCAGGTTTTTGTCAATAGACAGACTGGAATAGAAAGCAATGATTTTTTAACACTTCTTCAAACACTGTGGATAGTTTTTCTTTCAAAAATGTAAAGTCTAGGTGATTTAGGTTTCTTCACGGCTTCACAGTTTGCTAAACAGCTCACTCAATGGCTTGGCAGCTGCAATGAGTTTATGTACTATTACGCTCAGTGATATCTATGTTTAATAATTCCAAAGAGCATTTGGCTTCTCCCAAAGGCCATCTTACCTTTGCTTCTAGGTGTACCTGGACATTTCCAAAAATAGTAACCTAACTCTCCAAGTATCCCCAGCAGCTTTAGAGCTTCTCCTGATACGTCTGAAGTGCACAATTTGTATTTCCCACAGTTTCCTTTAGAAAATTAGATGGAATCTACAGTTTTATATATGCAGCAGCTTTTGTAAATTAAGTATGTCATAATTCTTGTGTCTGAATCTTTGAGTCATGTCTTAATGGTGGAACATGTTTCCACGCTGGTCTCGTGTAGTGTAGCTAGCTGCAGTGCTGCTTCCTATATTTTGGCCAAACAGTGTGTCTTTGCTGAACACCTGGAAAAGCATCTTGTGGTCACCAGTGTGTATCTCTCTATTTGCCACATCTTGTTGGTGTTTAGGTCATAGGTAACTGCACCCCTACACTACCTTGCCTAAGTGACCATTTGATATGAGTGAACTACGACAAGGAAGGCTGATAGGTTAACCAAACATGAGAACCAATGACATCTTTTCTTTTTCTCCTCCTTACTCAACATCCATAAATGTGGCACCATCAACAGGATTCAATGAATCATAATCAGATGTGAGAACCTTGATGAATTTTCTCTTCTCTATAACCAGGTACCCTAAAGTCAATTGAGCAGTTCTACTCCATGTGGGATCAGTTAGAACAGCACAGTCTACGGACGTAAAATCAGGATTGTCCTCATCGTATTGTGAACTTACTTCTTCTGCCATTTATAAACATTTTACAGGAAAAATAGCCAGGATGAAATTAATATAGAAATCTCTGTCAAGATTTGGGGCAAAGACGTAGCAATGTGAAAATAAACACGATTAATGGTTATACTCACGGAGGTAACATCTGTGTCAGAAGTTTCTCTGTTTTCTGCTTTTCTATTTCTAACTCTTCAGTTCGTTCTCTTATGAGATCTTCCAAATTACTGGAATATTGTTCAAGCATTCTCAGCATAGAGTCGATAATATTGGTTTTCCTACCTTTGTTAATATTCCTGAACTGCACAAGTAGAAGGAGATACAAGTATGTGGATGAAATGTACACATTGTGATTAGCATCCAAAGAAACGCGAGAGGTGACGGAATAAAGCTGAATTCTATGCTTGCAGTTAGGTTAGCTAATGGGTAAATTGGTAAAATCTTACATTATCAAAGATTTCATCAAAGGATGGTCTTCTTTCAGGTATTTCATTCCAGCATTGGTTCAATAACTGGATACACTCTATGGGAGCATGATCTTGGGTAACAATAGGCCTGAGCAAAGGAGGGGGCTTTTTTATATTCTGGATAATTTCTGAAAAAGAATAGTTACAGGCAGTTAGAATAATTTCAACAAAATTTGTTAATTATTTCTTGTTTTAAATTTGTTCACGCGCAGGATTCTCCCCTTTTCTCTACTGAAGGCATTGACTCATCCTGAGTTCAGTTTCACAGGATCCAAAGGAAAAAGAAACATTGCAAATGTTAGATCCCTGACACAAAACCCCTGAAAATGCAGATGTGCCCATAAAGAGAAAAGAAAGGTTCACTGTTCAAGTGTAACTTTGGCCAGAACTGAAAGCTGAAAAATAATTACACAATTTAGTAGTGTTGGAAACAAAAGACTCTTTCTCCTGGGCTAAGGGCTCAACTGGATTTTCTGGATTTTGCCTTTTTTAAAGAAAAGATAAAGACTTGTATTTGTCTTGTGCTTTTCACAACCTCAGGACATTCTAAAGCATGTTGTAGCCAATTAAGTAACTTTTAAGTGTGGAAAAAGTGGCAGCAAGTTCCAATATGATGATGATCTGTTTTGGACTAATGGTTGAGGGATAAATATTAACCAGGACAACTCCCATGCTCTTTTTCCAAATAATGTTTGGTAATCTTTGGGCACACATTAGCTTAACGTCTTAACTGCAAGGTTGCATCTCTGACAGTGCAGATTTCCTACTCTATTACCCTGGACTGTCGGCCTAGATTGTGCCCAAATCTTCACAATACATTGTGAATCCACCACCTTCTGACTTTTAATTAACAGTGTCATGCACCAATCCACAAAGCTGCAATACTTTCAATATTTTCTATTTTTGTTCCAGTTTTATCATTCCGTTTGCCCTCCCTTACCTCAGTCAAGTGCATTTGTCATTCTAAAGGATGAAAGGCTATTTCAATTTAGTAAATATGAAGTTGATCTTGATTTTATCCACCCCAGACGTCACACACAAATACTATTTCGGCCTGGTCACTGGGTAAAAGTTAGAAGTGAGAACTTTGGCAGATTTTAATCGCTTTCTTGAGGAGTTACGGCATTGCAGTATCATGCTGCTACCTCACTGAGAGGAGTTCTAGGGTTAAGATAGTAGGAACTGCCGATGCTGGAGTCTGAGATAACAAGATGTGGAGCTGGAGGAACACAGCAGGCCAGGCAGCATCAGAGGAACAGGAAAGCTGATGTTTCGGGTCTGGACCCTTCTTCAGAAAAGTTCCTTCATACGTTCATATTGGGCAGCATGGTGCCTCAGTGGTTAGCACTGCTGCCTCACAGCGCCAGGGACACAGGTTCGATTCCACCCTCAGTCTGTGTGGAGTTTGACATTCTTCCCGTGTCTGTGTGGGTTTCCTCCGGGTGCTCTGGTTTCCTCCCACAGTCCAAAAAATGTGCAGGCTAGGTGGATTGGCCATGCCAAATTGCCCATAGTGTTCTGTGTAAATTGAGTGGGTTACAGGGATATGGGTCTGGGTAGGATGCTCCAAGGGTCGGCGTGGACTTGTTGGGCCGAAGGGCCTGTTTCCATACTGTAGGGATTCTGTGATATCTCATTTCTATTCTGCATTGTTCATCTATCAATTAAGACTTTGGAAAGCCTATACTTCAACTTCACCTAAGAGCTTCTTACCTTCTGCAGACAGATCAAACATGCAGTATGGTGGACCTCGTATTATCACCTCTTGCATTATGATTGCAAAACTATAAATGTCACCTTTGAAGGTACCGTTCATTAAAGGATTAGACTTCCGTAGTATCTCAGGAGCAGTCCAAAGGAATTCTGAAATAAAATTATAATTTATTATTGTGGAAATGCAAGATCAAAGCATCAAATATATTTTTTACAAATCAGAACAAACTGTCACATGTGCAGCTCTGTTCACTGCATTACAGCAAGGGTAGTGTTGCCTTAAAAGGAAACAGGACCGAGTAAGATGTTTCCATCCATCCAGAATTAAAGTTACTTAGTTTGTTCTCATAGAGTCATACAGCATGGAAACAGACCCTTTGGTCCAGCCTGTGCATGTCAAACATTTTCTGGGAGACCCTGACTCAACTTCAGTGAATTTTTAAGCTTATTGGGGGAATGAATGAAGTTTGTTCAGCAAAGTTGCTTATTATTATGAAGAGTTCATAGAACATAGAACATAGAACAGTACAGCACAGTACAGGCCCTTCGGCCCATGATGTTGTGCCAAACTTTTACCCTAAACCTAGGGTCTATCTACCCCTACCTTACATTATCATCCATATGCCTATCTAATAGCCGCCTAATGAGGCTGACTCCACTACCCTCTCCGGCAATGCATTCCACGCCCCTACCACTCTCTGAGTAAAGAACCTTCCTCTGACGTCTCCCCTATATCTACCTCCACTCACTTTAAAACTATACTCCCTCGTAATAGCTACCTCCACCCTAGGAAAAAGTCTCTGGCTGTCCACTCTATCTATACCTCTGATCATTTTGTACATCTCTATCAAGTCACATCTCATCCTTCGTCGTTCTAAAGAGAAAAGCCCTAGCTCTCTCAACCTTTCCTCGTAAGACCTTCCCTCCATTCCAGGCAACATCCTGGTAAATCTCCTCTGCACCTTTTCCAACGCTTCCACATCTTTCCTGTAATGAGGCAACCAGAACTGGACACAATACTCCAGATGTGGCCGAACCAGGCTTTTGTATAGCTGGAGCATAACTTCACGGCTCTTGAACTCAATCCCTCTATTAATGAAAGCTAACACACCATATGTCTTCTTAACAACTCTATCCACCTGGGTGGCAGCTTTCAGGGAACATGAACCCCAAGATCCCTCTGCTCCTCCACACTGCCAAGAATCTTTCCGTTAACCCCGTATTCTGCTTTCAAATTTGTCCTTTTAAAATGAATCATCTCACACTTTTCAGGGTTAAACTCCATCTGCCACTTCTCAGCCCAGCTCTGCATCCTATCAATGTCCCTTTGTAACCTAGAACAGCCCTCCACACTATCCACAAATCGACCCACCTTCATATCGTCTGCAAACTTACTAATCCACCCTTCCATTCCTACATCCAAATCATTTACAAAAATCACAAATAGAAGAGAACTCAGAACAGATCCTTGTGGTAGACTACTCGTAACTGAGCACCATGTTGAATATTTTCCGTCCACTACCACCCTTTGTCTTCTAAGGGTCAGTTCAAACAAAGTCTACTCCTAATTCAAGTTACGTGAGCTTTCATTTTTATCATTAAGAGCTGAATTTTCCCATTTTCAGAGGAAGTGTTTTGGTAAGTGAGGATTGTGGCACCCAGTCCAACATTAGTCAGAATGACTTTTGTCAGGTAATCTTCTGATCTTCACCTCGTAAACCATGTAACTGACCTCTTCGAGACCATTCTTGGGGAATTGCATGAGTGGAGATGCAGCTACGCTCACCACTGCTGGTCCCTTCCAGCTTTCACCCTTCTGGTGCCATGTTCTCTGCTCAGCCACAGACACTGCAAACCAGGTACCAATGTTGCAATTATTGACCCTCAACACTCAACGTATGGCCCAACGGAAAGAAACATTCACTCCCGCATTACGGCCAGGGACGGACAGGTGTTGGTGGACAGCTTGTTGGTGAGGAAGGCAGTCCTTTCCTAGGTAACTATCACAGGAGGTCACACTACCAGATCAAGCCCACCTTGACACAAATTATAGCCCAGGTCAGTGCACTGTCTTGATTAAAGCAGGAGTCCCAGTGGTGCAGGAAGAAGGTTAATGATCTTTATGCTCTTCAAGGTTAATTTCCACCATCTTCTCTCTGCTACCTCATACTCACAGGTCCTCCACTCACTCTAAACCTGCCAATGCATATGCATCTTACCAAGAGTCATGGACTACAACTCTCACTATTGTATGCATCTTATCCACTCTACCTCAACCTCCGAAACTACAAACCCTTCCTTCTCTCTGTGCTTCCCACTCACTCACTGGCAACAGGTCACTATCTCTCCTGAAAGTATTACTACTAAATGCTTTTATATTCACTTCATTATACTCAATCCCTTCCCTTTGTCTCACTGAAAGAAAAATTGGCCCAAATCATTGTCTCAACAGTACCCTGGTGACTTATTTATAAATGCACTGGCCTGGTTGCACTTGGCCCTGCAGGACTGACCAATCAGCAGACTGCAAGGACCACAGATCCCCAGACTCAGGTATGACCAAGTGACTGTTGACCATGGCCAATGCTGTGGACTGGAATAGGGAAAGCCCCTTGACTGACTCGAGTGGTACCCCAAGATTGTCTGTAGCCAATCTTCATTGCACCTTTTTGACTTTCACACATGGCCATTTGTTTGAAGCACATGCTGGATGCCTGTTGACATATGTTACAGGTGTGACATTGACATAGCACAGTGCTGCATAGCAACATTTCCATCCCCTATCTGACTGATAAATTGACTGTTCAGAGCCTCCAACTGTCACAAGCTCCTTGCCTCTCCCAGTGGATGAAAAGAAACAGCCACACAGTCTGGTGTTAGTAACTAAAACCTAAAGACCACATGCACTAAAAAAGCAATGTGATTTAAACAATATTGGCAGCCCATAAGTCAATGCCAAAGTCAGTGAGTTCTTTTTATTTATTTGTGGGATGTGGGCATCACCGGCTGGACAGCATTTATTACCCTCCCCTAGTTAACTTTGAGAAGGTGTTGGTGAGCTTCCTTCTTGAACCGCTGCAGTCCATGTGCTATAGGTACATACACAATATCCTTAGGGAGAGAATTCCTGGATTTTGACCCAGTGACAGTGAATGAACAGCAATATATCTCTAAGTCAGGATGGTGGATGTCTTGGAGGGGAACTTGAAGGCGGTGGTGTTCTGATGTATCTGCTACCCTTGTCCTTCCAGATGGAAGTGGTCGTGGGTTTGGAAGGTGCTATCTGACGATCTTTGGTGCATTTCTGCAGTGCATTTTGTAGATAGTACACACTGCTGCTACTGAGTGTTGGTGATGAAGGAATTGGATATTTGTGAATGTAGTGCCAATCAATGAGCGCCTGCATGATGTCAAACTTCTTGAATATTGTTGGAGCTGCACACATCCAGGCAAATGGATCATCCACTTGGTACTTCTGGCTGAAGATTGCTACAAATGCTTCGGCCTTGTCTTTTGTACTTGTGTGCTGGGCTCATCCAATAGTGATGGTAGGGATATTTGTAGAGTCTTCTTCTCAAGTGAGTTGTTTAGTTATCCACTACCATTCACAACTGGACGTGGCAGGACTGCAGAGCTTAGATCTGATCCGTTGGTGTGGGATCGCTTAGCTCTGTCTATCATTTGATGCTTATTCTGTTTGGCATGAAAGTAGTCCTGCTTGGTAGCTTCACCAGCTTGATACCTTGTTTTTAGGTAGGCCTGGCGCTGCTCCTGGCATGCCGTCCTACACTGTCCTTTGAACTGGGGTTGATCCCCTGGTTTCATGGTAATGATTGAGTGGGGATACGCCAGGCTATGAGATTACATATTGGAGTACAATTCTGCTGCTGTTGATGGCTCACAGTGTCTCATGAATGTCCAGTCTTGAGTTGCTCAATCTGTTTGAAATCTGTCGCACTTAGCATTGTGATAATGTCACATAACACAATGGAGGTAATTCTCAATTTGAAGGTAGGGCTTTGTCTCAACAGGACTGTGTGGTGGTCACTCTTACTGAAACTGTCATGGGCAAATGCATCTGCAGTTGATAGATTGGTGATGATGAGGTCTTGTTTGGTCCCTCACCAGCTGCCGCTGACCCAGTCTAGCAGCTGTGTCCTTTAGTTCCTGACCAGCTTGATCAGTAATACTGCTGCCAAACCTCTCTTGGTGGTGGGCATTGAAATCCCCCATCCAGAGTAGATTTTGCAGCTTTAAAACCCTCAATGCTTCCTCCAAGTGTGTTCAACATGGAGTAGTACCAATTCATCTCCAAGGGAGTATGGTATGTGATAACCAGCAGGAGGTTTCCTTGCCCATGTTTAACCTGAGGCCATGAAACTTCATAGGGTCCAGAGTCAATGTTTTGGACTTCTAGTGGAACTCCCTCCTTTTTGTAAACCACTGTGCCACCACTCTTCTGGGTCTGTCCTGCCAGTGGGACAGGACATATCCAGGGATGGTTTTGGTGACATCTGGGCCATTGATTCTGTGATAGCTGTTGCTTGATTTGTCTGTGAGATAGCTCTCCCCAGATGTTAGTAAGGAGAACTTTGCAGGGTCAAAAGGGATGTGTCTGCTGTTGTCTTTTCTGGTACCTGGATCAATGTCAGGTGGACCGTCTGGTTTCTTTTCTTTGTTAAGACTTCATAGCAATACATACAACTGAGTGGTTTGATACACCATTTTAGAGAGCAGTTGAGGGTCAACCACATTGCTGTGGAACTGGAGTCACATGTAGGCCAGACCAGGCAAGGATGACCAATTTCCTTCCCTAAAAGGCATTAGTGAGCCAGATGGGTTTTTTTTGCCCTCAACAATGGTTTCATGGTCATCAGTACATTCTTAACTCCAAATATCTTTTTCATGAATTCAAGTGCCAATATTTGCTGTGTTGAGTTTCAAACCCAGGTCCCAAGAACATTAACTGAGTTTCTGAATATTAGTAGGCAGGTGATAATACCACTAGGCCATTGCCTCCCCCATTCACTCATGAGATGCCTGTGGTCATACAAGTAAAGTACCACTGTGTGTGGGTGCATTACATGTATGACTGTCCCTGCAGGCAAAGCTACTTGATAGAAGGATGCAAGTCATTACTGTCCCTGAGCAAAATGTTGAAGTGCTGAAGTGGTGTGAGTGTTGTTTCAAGAGCAGGCATGATGATGTTTTAAGGTTGATGGTTTGCTAATGTTGTAATTTGTGGATGAAAGATTGAGGATGAGGAGGCCAAGGAGCATGCAGTAACACTGTTCTGAAGAAGCAGTTTGATGATGACCAGGACAACTGGCAAACTGCAGCCACCAGATGTCAGTTCCTATGTACATGTTGAGAATTAGTGCTGTCTAGTTACTCAGTAGAGGAGATTTGGAAGCGGCTTATAAATAAGGCTCGTTAGGGCTTTCATGAGATGCATATGTTTGGAAATACGGTGTTTGCTGCTCACTGGTGAGATTCTGAAGTCACCATTTAAGTCTTGAGGGTAAAAAATTGAGAAAAAGCTGTCAATGTTGAGAATCTAATTTTGTCTTTCTCATGATATTTTCCAACCTTCCTCATCATTACTCATTCCACAGGGACAGGAGAAATCTGACCTACATTTCTGCTTTTCAGCATTAATTACATTGTTTACTTGAAATTACTGGCTTAGAAAACAATTTTGACTGAACAATGCAGGACAAATTAAAAAATAATGAATCCATAAAGCGAGAAGTAAGGCAGAACATTTTTACGCAAAGTCTTTTAAATACATGAAGTACGTGACCTGTGATGATCATTAAATTGTACAGTCCACATAGGATCTAAAGTGCAATCAGATATGCTTTGCAAGGAAATGTGAATGAAAAGAAATGTTGAATAGGCAGATAGATAGATTCTTAATCAGTGAAAGTGATTGAAAGACTGTTGGGCCTTCTTCTGTGAATTTGCTTTGCTCTCATATCAATCTTTGCCTTATAGTTCAGTGGTTGTCTATTCTCATTCACTTTCCCATTTCTCCTTCCTGCTTTTAGCTCTGTTTCATTCATTCTTTCACTGTTGTTTTGTATTGTTTTCAATTTGAGAGGCTGAGTTTGATAAGAGACTGCAAAAGAGGCACAAAGGTCAAAATAATTTGAACAAATATTGAATCAAACCCAGAATGTGGACCATAGTGAAGAGCATTTTTGTGTTCAGAGGATGATTTCTTCACTCTTCTTCCACAGTGACTGTATTTGTCAGATACAAAATATCAGATATAAATATGTGTGAAATTCAGTTAAAGACTTGTCATATTATTTGTATTCACATATACAGAAGCACTACCACCCTGACCTCAAGCTAACACTCACCATTACAGCTCATAGTCAAATGCTGTAAAGGAAAGTAATTACTCAGTGCAAATGTTGCCAAAACAAATTATTACATTTACCTGTTGAGCACATTATATGCTTTAGGTGAATGATTAACACATAAATAATGCATTCTTACGTTGGGTGTAATCATTTGTTTAGACAACATGTGCGTTGTGTCATTAATTTCCATCACAGCACTTCACTATTATGAATAATGTTCTGACTTTATAAAGTACAGTCTCAGTGGAAACGGTTTTTATAAATAAAACTACCATTAATTTTATTGAGGTTAGTTGTTTGCTAGTTTATAGCCATTTTTCATGGTGTCTTTCTGTCTTGAGGCAATATGTGAAAATTTGTTCCTGCTAACCACAAACACAAATTTGCAGCTAACACTTTATATTGGGCAGTAAACATGCATTGTAACCTGGCTTGTGTGGTGTATTGTAGAAGAGCTGCATAATGTATAGGGGTTTCTTAAAAGGCTTTATGTTTAAAAAAAGTGCTAAGTATTTTCCATTCGTGCAGACCCACATTAAATAAAAGCATGGCATAAAGAAATAATTGAGAAATAGATGAGGAAAATATCAGATTTGTCAGGAACAGTTTGTATTTAAAAAGACATGACAGATAATGAGGATATTGTGTGAGGACATGACTGACGTCTTTGAAAGCCTCCTAAAGTCTAAATAATTTACAGGTTTTAGACTGTTTTGCGATAAGTAACTATTTGACTGAGCCAGCAGATTGATGCTAGGATCCACACAGCCTTACTTCATTTTAATTTACTGTTTCTAATCATAATAAAAGCTCAGCATTGTAATTTCTGAAATAAAATAGTAGAAGCAATTATATTGAAACTTCTGAAATGTACTTCTGCGACCCAAAGATCTGTTAGACATAAGGCTTTAAATGGTATTCTATGAGGAATAGCGTATGGATACTGTATGTTTTTGTGCAATGTCATTTAAGATATACACAAGATATACATAAATCTATTTATTTTAAATCAATTGAATGGCAATCTGATGCTTCTACTGAAAGAATGAAAGAAGGAACAATATGTTAAGTAATATTCATAGGGTGTTATTTCAAGCCTCAAAATGTGCAAGTCCAAAGATGCGCAAATTAGGTGGATTGGCCATGCTAAATTACCCATAGTGTTCAGGGTGGATTGGCCATGCTAAATTACCCATAGTGTTCAGGGATGTATAGGTTAGCTGCGTTATCATGGGAAATGGAGGGTTACAGGGAGAGGGTGGCGGATGGGTCTGGCTGGATGATCTTTGGAGTTTTGGTATGGACTTGTTGGGCCGAATGGCCTATTTCCTCACTGTGAGATTCTATAAAAAAACTTGATTACATGATAGCGATTACACTACACCAAAAAAAGAGCAATGGCAGATTGACCCTGCTCAATGGGAAAAGTTGACATGGCTTGTATATATAAGTCTAGTATGGATTAGGTTGAGAAGCCCTACATTAACCAGCAGTGCTGTTTTTACCTTCTGCTGGAGGTTCCATCAATGGAATGTTCTGGGCTTTGGCCACTTCAATATATCCATAGTCTGTCACCTTTAGAACAAAGCGTCCATCTACAACACAGTTCCTTGACTTGAGGTTTCCATGTACATATTCTCGGTGGTGTAGATACCTCATGCCCTGCAATAGTAAATTGTTGGAAAATTATCCAATTATCCATTTCCAGACTAAATAACACTAAAAGCATTCTTACTAATTCTAACAAACAGTCCACAAATGGTTATATATTTTATATAATGCCACACTAACTGGAGATCAGGGTACTTTATAATGTTTGGGTAGAAATTGGATGCACATTGACGAGGATGGCATGACCATGCATATCCAGCTAAATAATAAAATACTTCTATGGTAACATGTAGTCTCAGGTTTCTTCCATCTGGGTTATGTTTTACAGAAGAGCAAAACAAATGTGACGATACTGTGGCTTTAAGAAGTGTATTTTATCCTGGACAACAAGGTGCAGGGCTGGATGAACACAGCAGGCCAAGCAGCATCATAGGAGCAGAGAGGCTAACGTTTCGGGCCTAGACCCTTCATCAGAAAAGGGGGAGGGGAAGGGGGTTTTGAAATAAATAGGGAGAGAGTGGGAGGCAGATAGAAGAGGGATAGAGGAGAGGATAGGTGGAGAGGAAACAAACAGGTCGAAGAGGCGGGGATGGGGCCAGGAAAGGTGAGTGTAGGTAGAAGAAAAGTTTTAAGGCAGAAGAGACTAGTCATCTATGAGAGCCACTAAAGTAAACAGCTTGTGAGACCTTGGTTTTGTTTTTCAAAGTTGGAATAATAGAAGCAGCCTGAATGGGTGTGTTTCAACTTTCACAGAACCAGGGATTTTAGTTTTAGCTTTCAGCAATTGCTGTTAGTGTCTTAAAGAAGTGGAAGCTATTTTTTCCCTCTCTTGGTTGCAGCCAAAAGCTGAGGATTCTCTTCCTGCTGCAGGAGTTGCATGTGATTTAATCTGTTTTCTGAATTTGCCTTTTGCCAAAGGTATGTTTGTGGGATGTTACTATATTGGAACAGTTAATTAGTAATTGTTACTGTATCTATTATTCTATTAAGTTTTCCGGTTGTTAAGTTACTCCAATTCCTTCTTCTTTTTGTTTTATTTTAACCGTAGTGAATCTAAAGTATGTTTTGCTTTAAATCTGGTAGTTTGACCAATCAATTTGCATCTGGAATGCAACACCTTACACTTACCTTTAAAATAAGAAACATTAGGGTCTAAACTATCTTCTGAATATTTTGAGGGGACATTGTCTGGTCCATCACACTGTCAATAATTTTTTTTACAATAAGTCAAATACTGCACTCAGGCCCTACAGCCAAACTTGATCCTTTCTTTGCAAAGTGGTCACAGCCATACGTATTTCCACCAGGCATCACTGGACAGAATCAGGAATAAGAGCTCTGTCTTCTTTTCCTCCTCTCTCACCAGTAAAGTGATTTACAACATCTGAATCATTGCTGAGTTATCAGAACATATGGAATATGCAAAGGGATATAGGTACGTTGAGTGAGTGAGTAAAAACTTTGAAGGAGTTTTATGGAGGAAAGCATGAAATAGAAAGAATTTGCTAGCAAGAACGAAAAGGCAGACTATTATTTAAATGGAGAGAGACTCCAAAAAAATGCATCACAGAGGGATCTAGATGTTATTGTGCATGAAAAGCAAAATGTCAGCATTCAGGTGCACCAAGTAATTAAGCAAGCAAATGGAATAATGCTTTTTGTGTCTAGGGAGTTAGAGTTTAGAAGTAGGAAAGTCTTGTTACAAGTGTACAGGGTATTGGTGAGGCTGCACCAGGAGTACTGTGTAGAGTAAAAACCAAAAGAACTGCGGATGCTGTAAATCAGGAACAAAAACAAAATTGCTGGAAAAGCTCAGCAGGTCTGGCAGCATCTGTGGAGATTCCATCAGTTCTGAGGAAGGGTCACCGGACCCGAAACGTTAACTCTGTTTTCTCCTCCACAGATGCTGCCAGACCTGCTGAGCTTTTCCAGCAACTTTGTTTTTGTACTGTGTAGAGTTGTGGTTCTCACAGGTAAGACTGGTGTTGGAGGCAGTTTGAAAGAGATTCACTTGGCTGATTCCTTCTTTAGTCATTATTCATTACAGATTCAAAGAATGCAGTGTAACTTTATTGAAATATACACGTTTCTGAGGAGGCTTGATATGGGAGATGTTGAGAAGATGATTCCACGAGTGGGGGTGTCTCAATCTACGGGATATAGTTACCAAATAAGGGGACGCTTATTTAAAAGTGAGATGTGAAGGAAAATTTTCTCTTCGGGGTAGTGAATATTTGAAATCCTAGAGAGTGGTGAAGGAGAGTTCACTGAAAGTGTTGAGAGGGGAGAAAGCTGGATTTTGAAATATCAAGGATTTGAGGGCTAGACGAATTGGCACAGAAGAGCTTTTGAGTCCTGGGCAAATTAACCATGTTCTTTTAGAATGGCAAGGCAGGTTTGAGGGGGACGAATGTCCCACTCCTGCTGCTATTTCTTATGTTCTTACAACAGTGACAGGGCCGGGCAATAAATTCTGCCCCTGCCCACATCACCCACATCCAATGAATGAATTTAAAACAAGCTACTTTTCAAAAAGTACTTCATTGGCTGTAAAACACTGCATGAAATCTTTTCAGAGATAGTAGGGGCTGCCGATGCTGGAGTCTGAGATAACAAGATGTAGA